GTGTTCAGTTTAGTGTATTTTAGTATAGCAGCCTGAGTAGACTAAAATAGTCATGAGTGACTTACACTTTTCCAGCCTTAGCTAAACAAATTTGAAGTAAGATATGATGGTGTTTTATGGATTCCACACAAGGGGGCCTTCTGTCAATAACAAGACATCCTTAGTAGAGAAAAACTAAGTTTTGTGAGATGCCAAAACTGAGAGGAGTTACCAGCTGCAAGTTAGAGACAGCATCCCCTATGCTTTGGGGGATGCCAACAAACCCACAAAAACTCCCTGTGAAAGATGCTCAGCAACGGTAGTGCCCTGACACCAGATGACAAATGTTCTAGGAGCACAGGACTGTCAGCTTTCCACTGTCTCCCAAGAGTAATTTTCAGATCATCAGAAAAATATTGGCAAGGTAACTACATTTTTTAAAACTCTGGGTTCTGAGTGGAATTTTGGCAAAACAAATTTACATTCACTTATAAACCATCAAACAATTAATAATAGAGTATTATTTAGGTCATAAAAAGATTCTTCTCCCTGAATTCATAACCAAATCTATTCTGCTTTAAGAAAGATGATTTATTTAAAAGATGAAACCAATTGTCCATTTCTCCCTCTAGTTATTCCCCCAAGAAATGTGTCCCACTTTAGAATCCAAATTCTACCTTCGTAAACAAAGATTCACCTGAATTCCTATACATTGCCAGTGCCACCCCAATTCACGAGGCAATAACAAGGTTAAGTAAGAAAACTGGGAAATCTATTCTTGGCTGACCTGGTCATTCTTTGAATCAGTCTTTTCTCTCCCCAGAATTCATAGCACATGTGGTCATCCTGCAGAACCCTGGCCTCACATGCCCCAGCCACCCATGACCATGTACTGTCTCTTTAGACATTTCTTTCCTGGTTTCTGTGCTGCTTGAGTAGCCCAAAGATTATCAAAGAAGCATAATTCATGACAACTCTGCATTCCTACTTTTAAAAGTTAGGGGAAGTCAGGGAGATGATGGTGGCATAGGTAATAAAGGGAAAACTGAGTTTCAAATGTTTGGCAATAATGCATTTATCTATTTTGCTACTTGCTTTTTCATTCTCTTGGTAGAAAAAAGTATTTTTTTTTTGTTTTTCTCTTGTACTTTCTTCCGTTTTCATTCTATAAATAAGACTGTTGAAATTATTATTGCTTCATATATCCTTGTCATTTCTCAGGGAAGGCTTGATTTAAACTATGCATTTTAGGTTTGTAACAAAGGATCAAATTTGGATGTTTCACATTTTAAATGATTTATTGGGTTAAAAGCACTAAGTAATTGATTCTGAACTAAACTCCTTTTAGCCTAAGAGTGTCTTTTAAAAAGTGAAGTCTATCAAGGATAGGCATTGTAGCGTTTTGACATTTAATGACAGTCTTATAAATTACATCAGTGTCTTGATTTTTTTTTTTTTTTAGTTTCTGTAGCAAGTATAAGTTTTTCAGAAAGTAATGTGCCTTGGTAATAGTCTTGAATTTTCCCAGTGCTTTAAATTTTTTCTTTCATTTTATTAGAACTATGTTATAGCCTGGCATGGTGGTGCACACCTGTAATCCCAGCTGTTTGGGAGGCTGAGGCAGGAGAATCACAAGTTCATCCAGTCTCAACAACTTAGCAAAGCCCTAAGCAACTTAGAGAGACCCTGTTTCAAAATATAAATATAAAATAAAAAGGGCTGGGGATGTGGTTCAGTGGTTGAGTGCCTCTGGGTTCTATCCCTGGTACAAACAAAACAAAACAAAACAAGAAAAACAGCAACATCAAAAACCTATGCTGTAAAGTCAGCATAGCACATATTTGATTTTAACAAATTACAAAAGTAAGACAGAGAAAAGGAGGAGTTGAATCATTTGTGGGAAAATATGCTATCATTTTACAGTCCAGTTAGAATTGTAAACAGTCTTTTTTCCAGAGGTTTTGCAACTTGATTATTTTTTTCTTTTTGCTCTCATCTAAATTCTTTTTTTCTCAAACTTAAATAGACTTACCCTTCTGTTTTCTTAAGCAAAATAATTTATTTTCTTTTCCCTTAAAACTTCTCTGTGTTGGGAAGATAAAGTAGAAAAAAATATGTGAGGAGATATTTGAGTTGAAGGCCTATTGGTACTTTTTGCTACATTAACAGAAAGTATATTACTTTTAAAGTTGTAAATAATTGTTATGAAATTAATAATTTTGCTCTTGAAGAATTTTTTTCTAACTGGCTATATAGTTTTAAAAAGAACAGTTTTGAGTCTTTTACTACTGTTAAAAAAAGTGGAAAGTAGTGATAATATTTTATGTAGCATGGTTTTCATCTTTCATTTTTACTTCTATTTTTTAAAACTCTCTTTGGTTCTCAGAATATACTAATTACTCCCTTTTTACAAATAGATAAATTAAGGCAGATAAGATCTAAGCCATTTTTCTAAAGAGTCACCGTTTGCCATTGTTCTTATGTTGGCAAAACCCTGGGCCTCTGTTATAACATGCTATAGAAAATGTTGCCTTTAGTTACCTCCTACCTGTGTCTACTCAGTCTAAAGCACACAGACATTTGGAAAAATAGCATGTGAAAATATGAAGTTTCAGACACATTGATTCTTTAAAAAATTTAATTTTTTTTTTTTTTTTTTTTTGGTACAAGAAACTGAACCCAGAGGTGCTTAACCACTAAGACACATCCTCAGTCCTTTTAATTTTTTTATTTCATTGTCTCACTGAGTTGCTTAGAGCCTCTCTAAGTTGTTGAGGCTGACATTGAACTTGGGATCCTACTGCCTCAGTTCTCCCGAGTCACTGGGATTACAAATATAAGCCCAGATAGATTTGGTTTTTTTACTATTCACAATTCCAGGGTGTCTTAGAATATTTTTAATTAAATAGCAGTATATAGTTTTACTTTGCTGATAGACAAGAATAACTTTGGATTGTGTATCTTTTTTTTTTTTTTTTTGAACCCGGAGACACTTAACCACTGAGCAACATCCCCAGCCCTTTTTACATGATATTTAGAGACACGGTCTTGCTATGTTGCTTAAATCCTATCTAAATTGCTGAGGCTGGCTTTGAACTTGCTATCCTCCTGCCTTATCCTCCTAAGCCACTGGGATTACAGGTATGCACCAATGTGCCTGGCTTTGGATTATGTATCTTTTTAATGGTTAAAAAGACATTTGCAATTAAAACTCAAAAAAGATGTTTTATGTAACATTCTCATTTTTTATATCCATCTTTTTTTGTTGTCATTTGGCTTTTTAGGAGACCCATACTCAACACCAGTCAAGGCCTAAAGGTTCAGGGAAGGCCTGCATTTATAAGACTTGACTTAAGAGAGCTGGAAGCATGGTAGACAAACTAGTAGTATTCTCTTAGTTTTAATGAATTCATGAACAAAATATCTATTCTTTCTAGAACCTTTCCAAATAGCTTCTATCAGTAATGATTCTATACACATACAGGAGGTTGATTTTAAACCTTTCTGTTTATCTTCCTAAAATCAAAGAGGCAGATTGATATAATGGACCTGCCCACCAGAGTGCAGTATTTCAAAAAGTCTCCATTCAGGCCATCCTAGGGGGTTGGCTCAGTGCCATCCTGCCCCTGTGTCTAAGCCCAAGCCATCATCTCCAGTGGTGAAGGTAACCCTCAGGTCAAGGAAGTCAGGGACTGCAAAATCATTTGCCTCGCTGAGCTGCATGTTGACCTGATGGTTGGTTAGTTTGTTCACTGTAGACATTTCTGTGATCATATTTTCACCTACTCTCTAAAAGACCATGGTCCCGAGTACCATTCTTTTTCTTAAAGCACCTCCCTTAAGCAGGTTACCTTCAATAGAAACTGCAACCTCCTTAACACCTGAGGCTTTTTACCACCTAGTTCCTGACTACGTGTCCAGCACATGCTCACCACCTTGCTCTGGAAGCTCCAGCAACAATGATCCAGATGTAATTTCCTACCAGTTCATCATATCATTCCATTCCCTTGGCAGGAATTCGTTTGCTTTCTCCCCTTCTCATCAGGTTGTCTCCTACTGAATATTCTAGACTTAGCTTAGACATCACTTCTACCAAGAACCTTACCAGAGCTCTTTCTGTCATTATCTGTGTCATTCTGTAAAATTTTTTGAAAAATGGATTTTTAGAGAGAGAGAATTCACATACCATACAGTATACCCATTGAAAGCATATAACTCAGGGGTTTTTATGGTTTTTTTTCACAGTGTGGTGTAATGTAGAGGCATCACCACAATGTTAGAACATTTTCATTACCTCAGAATGAAACTCTTAACCTTTTTTGATCTCACCTTCCTGTACCTTAGTCCTCTTCCAAGTCCCATCTGTCTACTTTCCATCTTTTAAAGATCCCCCTATTCTGGTCTTTCATATGAATAGCATTATATAACACATGGAATTTTGTGACTTTTTTTTTTTCACTGAGCACAATATTTTCAACGTCTGTCAAGTTGTAGCATGTGTCAGTACTGAGCTTCTCTTTATACCTAAATGATACTCCATAGTGCTGACATTACATTTTTTTAATCCATGCGTCTGATGATGAATATTTGGGTATTTCCCACCTTTTGGTCATAATGAGCAATGCTACTCTGAATAGTCATGTAAAGTGTTTGTATGGACATATGCTTTAATTTCTCTTGGGTAGATACTTAGGAGTAGACTTGCTGGATCATATGACCACTCTGTGTTTAATTGTTTGAGTCATTTCCAGACGTTTCCTGACAATTTTGTCATTTGATATTCCCATCAGCAGTGTATAAAGGTTCGAGTTTCTCCACATTCTCATGACAGTTACTATAGTCTTTTTTATTTTAGCCATCCTAGTAGGTGCCAAGAGTTATCTCTTTGTGGTTTTCACCTCCTTTAGTTTTTTTTCCCCATATGTGTTTCCTTAGCATTCATATTGTGCTCCCTAGTATGCAGTAGGCACTCAAATGTTGATTGAAATGGATGGAATGCATTTTTGATTTTTTTATTTCAGCAAATGCCCAGCAGGCACCTGTGATGGATGTGCATTCTATTTCTTATGGGAGAGTGCTGAAGCTTGCCCTCTGTGCACCGAGCATGACTTCCATGAGATTGAGGGAGCCTGCAAACGAGGATTTCAGGTAAGGACCAAACCAATCTATAGATATCATTGACAAATGACAACTTATTGCTGAGTTCTCCATTATGCCAATGAAAGGAATGGATTTCTTTGGATGTTCCAGCTTCATGATTAAAAAAAACAGTTATTGAAAAATATTACAGTATCTTTTAATTTTTAATCATCTTACTATTTCAGTTCTGTCCTTTATTACTTTTCACTTTATGTTGACCACTTTATGCACTTCCCCAGTTTTACAACTTTATCAAATGCAGATGAAAATAAAGTTAAATTTATGCAATCTAAGTCCTGCCTATATAGCTGATATGAACAAAAAGAGCTTTACAGCTTGTGATAAGAGTGCTCTTATCAAATTGGATCTCAAAAATCTATCCCAGGTTCTAAGTGTGTATTAAGCGTTGCAGCTAAAGTCATGCAGAGTAAAGATTTGAGTGATACCATGTTAGCTCTGAGAGAAATATTTTTAGATTTATCATCAAATTTATCTTAATCCTGTTCAAAGTATATCCCTACATGTTGGAAGAATAAATCTTTTGGCTGCAGTGTCAGCTATTTTTGTTTTCCAATGCTATGTGATTGGATAAAGGGACAAAGTTTCTAATTAATAGTTACAGAATGACTAAAACATTTTGTCAATTGCTCGAGTTTTTTTTTTTCTTTGTATTTAATGAGTTGATTAAGATGTTAAGCACTGGTTTTACAAGTGTCTTTAATTTTGAAGCTTTAAGATGTGTAAGTCTGCCACTAGACATTAGAGCTTGCCATTTTCATTGAACGTTATACATTTTATAAAACCATATAAACTCTGGCACAATCTTTTTTTCTTGGTAGAATGCACTTCAAATGTAGTCGGTGTTTGCTCCCTAGAGTTTACAGTTTTCTCTGTATTGTCTTGATTTACATTTAGAGATGCAGCAGCAAAATTTGAATATACTCCTGCATTTCACTTCATCATTCTTATAAAAATGTAACCTATTTAAAAATAATTTACTTGGTCTATGCTTAATGAAAATATCACAGGTATCATCTATTTAAAAAAAACCCTCAATCACTAATATTCTAAAACACAGGCAGAAAGTTCTTATTCAAACCTTTGTTGAAACTTTTCCTCAAAGTAAAAAAGATTCTTCTGCATATCACTTCATGGCTTACTGCAAAAATATTCTGATCCACATAAGACATAAAAGTAAAAATTATGGTGTTATTCTTATGTCAAAGTGTGGATAAAGTAATCATCATGTGCCATACAATTTAAGGAGGCACAGTAATGTCCTATGTCATTTAATGTCATTGAATATAATCATAGAAATTGCTACTGGTAAGTGGTACATGTTGAACTATGTAAGCAACCATGCCCTGCACTCTGATTTTAATTTTTGATATGCCTTATTTGGTCTACTTATTTCAAAAGTTCCTGTTTGAGATCTAGTATATTGCTTTTATTATTCAGTGACTAGGTGCAACTTGCTATATGGGAAACATTGTTCTAAAGGAATTAAGTCACCTACTTTGGGAGGTCAAGAGTACCAGGTGTGGGAAGGGGTGACCCAGAGTAATGCCCTACTTATTTTGACACACAGCAGAAGGGTGTAGTCTGTGTGCCTATTGTCATACCATCTACCAAGTCTGCCAGCCATGGTGCAAATACATGCCCTGGGCCTGGGGTCTCTTCTGTTTAAGGGAGAGACTTGTTGGACTTATGGGCCTAAGTGGTGGGAGAGTAAAATCCCTTCTAATTAATTATATTAAACAACTAAAGTTTTCATTTAAAAGCAAAATTAAGATGTCAGTGTCATTGAAATTTGAGGAAAATAGCCTAAAGATGTGTCTAGATGAATTCATTTTCAACATGTAGTACACCCTTCTGATGTGACAATTCATGTCTTTATTTAGATTTTACATTTGCTTTTGTTATTTTATTCACTTTCTTCTTTATCTCTTCCTTCTCTGGAGCTAAGTTTAATATGAATGAAGGATTAATAAATTCTTCTACATGAGAATTGACCCAATAACCCATTTAGCTTTCAAAACTGAATCTGAATCTTATTTCTTCTCTCATCTCTGTTTCAACTTACTTATTTTAAAAGGAAACCTTATATGTCTGGAATGAACCTAAATGGTGCATTAAAGGAATTTCTTTGCCTGAGAAAAAGCTGTCTACCTGTGAAACAGTTGACTTTTGGCTAAAAGTAGGAGCAGGCGTGGGAGCTTTCACAGCCGTTTTGCTGGTGGCTCTAACATGCTACTTCTGGAAGAAGAATCAAAAGTAAGTATCCTCATTGCATGATCATGTAAGAACTCTAGGGTCTGTTTGTGTTGTGAAATTTTTAGAACTAATCATTAAATCTGTACATTGTCTCAGAGATACGTTTCTTCTAGTGAAGTGGTTATTTCTACTCTGACAGTAGAAATATCATAGAACATTAAACTTCACTGAATTAGAGTCTCTTATTAAAAAGAAATAGAAAAATGGAGGCTTCAGATTATCCAGGTGACTGTAACAGAGCTGAGATTTGAAGGCAGAATTTTCCTTTGAGTCTGTTTTTTTTTTTTTGTTTTATGACATCATGCTGTCTTCTTGCTGCACTTTTAAAATTTCTTGTGGGTGGATATTTGCAAAGAAACTGACTAAGTATATAGGCAAATATCACATTTATTTACCCCACGTCTCCAAGAGTCTGGGATTGAATATTGATTCTAACCCCTGAATGCATATTGATCTGTTATACAACTTGAATCTTTTTCAATGATTTACATCTCAGTGGGCTATAGAAAAATCTGAATTCTAACATCTAGGGTCAACCTTAATATCTGAGATGCTAAGTTAAGCATAAAGGTGTGAATGATATAGGGAGACAGTAAGTATCAACTCATTTGCCTGTTTGATATTTTCATGCTTATGAACTAAACTTTGGAAAACGTGATAGTGAATTGTCATGAGCATATTAATAAATTAAGGAAATGTATTCAGACCTCAAGATTTTTCTTTGTTTTTCAAATGTTATTCATAACCAGACACTTCAGTCAATTTAAAGTAAGTGGTAGAATTAACTGTGTTGAACTGATTCTCTGACATTCTGTGAAGTATTTTTTATGTACATGGTTGATAAAAGAGAACACGTAAAGCCATACTTTAGGTGAGGGAAATTTGTTGATAGTACAAGAAGACAATTTAATGAGCTGCTATATAATCACATACAGTAAGTATTAATTTATTATTGATGTAAATGGCTACTTTATTTATTTATTTGCTTGTTTTATTTACTACCACTTAGACTGGAGTACAAATATTCCAAATTAGTAATGACAACTAACTCAAAAGAGTGTGAACTCCCGGCTGCAGACAGTTGTGCTATAATGGAAGGAGAAGATAATGAAGAGGAAGTTGTATATTCAAATAAACAGTCTCTACTGGGAAAACTCAAATCTTTGGCAACAAAGGTGAGAGTAGAATTTTAGACTGGAATTACTGAGCATTTATAAGTTGGGGCTGTATTAGCTTAATAGCATTCAAGCAAAGTTCTGTCATTCAGCATGTTTATCTCTCAGTGGATATGTATCCAACAGAAACACTCTTAGAAGTACATGATGTAAATACAAAAATATTCACTGCAGGACTGTTTTTACTAGTCAACAGAGTAGAATCAACTTTATGTACCATCAATAAGGAGTTAGATGAGAAATTTTTATATATCAAAGTAATGGAATACTTTATGGCTCTGTGGCTGTTAAAAATTGAGATGTTTATGTTTTCTGATAGTCAGATCCAGGATAAAGTAAAAACAACAAGTAGACTATCATATTTCTATTAAACATATATTTATGTTAGTATTCACATAATAAACATAATAACAGTAGCTGCTTTTTGAGAATAGGGAAATAATGAGAGTACATTGTCTTTGAAGTAATACCTTTTTGTAATATTTGAATTTTCACGAAGATAATGTGTTATCTTATAATTTTAAAAAACAAAATGTTAGGTTAATAAAAGATCTCATCTGTGTTCATTTCTGTGTTTATTTTATAACAAAGTTAATTTACATGGAGAAAACAGAAGTTATATAAGCTGTTGAGGTGTTTAGGATACCATCATATTTTTCTGATTTGAAATGACTATTGTATCTAAACATAATGTGAAACCTTAAATATTATGTGAAAACACATTTTATTGGCATTCTTCACCCTTGACTTAAGAGATGTAAATGGCCAATTTAACCACTCAAGATTAAAAATTAGAATGAACCAGAAGAAAGCAAATACATTTTGAATGATTTTTCAGGAGGACAGACAAAACACATAAGATTACATTTATAAGAGTATTTAGAGTAACTATCTTCTTTTTATTATTCTAATTTAGGCACACAAACATAGGGGATTATCTAACAATATAATAAATAAGCCATTTTCCCTTTCTACAAATGGTTATTTAATTTTAATTTTTTATATAGGAGTTTAGGGAAGGTACTATTGCTATGGAATAATAAATACATAGTGATTGTCAAGAACTGAAAATTTTACCATACTTGTAAACTAACAAGTGACTTTCATGAATACTTAAGAAGTCACAAGACTCCTGGGTAGAGACAAAAGACAGTTTAGTACTCACAGAGAGATATTAGACAGAGATATCAGTTTCCAAAGTGCCAGTTCCCACAAGGCTGTTTGCAGAGGAAATGATAATACTTGGTTCAATTACAGGAAAGAAACCCAAAGCTTTGGAAATCTGAATTTTCAGAAAGAGAAGTAAGTAAGTATGCCCATCCTTTGTCCCAGTAGGAGTTATTACCTTTATTGTACTTAGACAGGTATCGAGCCTGCCCTTTACTCTGAAAGGAGACAATATTTGTATCTTCTAAGACATTTTTTTAAATACAAAGAGTCTGAAAATACAGTATAAAACAAAAGGAAATCAGTGTCTTGCTCATAAGATGTGCAGAAATGCAAGAAACCATGGAGAATTATCTCCTAACAAAATACAAACCTCATTTCTCTACCATCTTGGCTTCTGATGAATTTTCGCTTTAGTATGGAAACTCCATGTAGTATTCTGATTAGCATGACTGATGGAGGCCAAATCTGGTCAATTTACTTCAAACAGCATTTAAATGAAGCTAATATCAATGGGACATCACGAAGCAAGAAGAAGCCAACTTGAATTATTAACCTTGTTCATACCCACAGGGTCCCAGACCTGATTAGCTGAACAAATGCCATAAACCTTTAGGGTCCAGGTTAGAAAGCTAGGTAGCTTTCTCCTTGAAAGAAGAGTTGACCTTTCTACTCTTGGGTTGACCTTTCTACTTAGCCTGAAACCTTTCCACTGTCACCAAGTAGTTTCTACCATAAGATTCAGATGGAAGGGGCTGGGGTTGTGACTCAGCGGTAGAGTGCTCACCTATAGTGTGTGAGGCCCTGGGTTTGATCCTCAACACCACATAAAAATAAATAAATAAAGGTGTTATGTCCATTTATAACTAAAAAAATATTTTAAAAAAAGATTCAGGTGGAAGAAAGATGGAAATTTCAAAAATAAGAGAACCCAGTATACTTCCCATGTTTGCCTACATGGGCCCTGTCAGGGGATTCAGTGAGCAGCTTACTCAAGTAAGTGGTAATTATCCTCTTGATCTGGAATCATAGGAATCCAACAAGACAATTCAAGTATATCAGTGCAGGTACAACAGGATATATTAATGACTGCACAGATTTTTGTTTCAGGTCATCAAGGAGGAGGTATAAGGTAATTATATTGTCTATAACAACATATGGAGAATGAGTTAATGTTGCCCTAAATGCCTTCAATGGATGAGGTGATATAATTGATTATTTTTGCCAAAGTTAGGGATGAATTTCATACCCCCTTTTTTAATTGAACAACTGCCCATTCAATGAGTGTAAGTAATATTATTCACTCATTTTAGAAAGATTTTTACAGTTATCTAGGGGTTACATGATTTATTGTGGGTGTTTCTCTAAAGATGAAAATTTGATATGACTATTTCTAAGTTACAAGCCACTATATTTTTAGGCTAAAATAAGGTAATGCCTGGTTTCAACATAAGAAGTACAATCCTGGAGGTGTGCATGCTGCCTCTGGAAGGAAAGTTGTATTTATAAATGCTGGGGACCCTAAGTGGAATTTAAATCAATCCAGCAGCATAGGTTGGCAGTGCCTGAAATATAAATTTGCTGAATAATAAACTTTAGGGTTTTCAGTTCATCACAAATAAATGTGTCTATTATCAATCAGGAGACTGCCTAAGGATAGTCAGTTTAACTTTTCCTGCTTGTCCATACTATAAATGGGTATCACATTTGTCTATCCCATGTGATGACTGAGTGAAGGCCTTGGGATTGGAGGTGTTGATTGATGTTATTCTGGAGCAGAAGCTGAGGCCATCTCCTGCTACATCTGATAGATTTATTAGTAAGCTAGCTTACAAATAATGGCAGTCCAATTGTGATTAGAGCATATGGTGGGTATGGCAGATCCAGAAATCAGTTAAATTAAAGGTCTTTGCAACAATTTGAGAGAGCCACATATGGGCATTTTTCTTTGCAGCACAGTGACAAGATGGCTCTGAAAAACAGATTATTGCTAGTGTCACTCCTTCCTCATCCCTTTCAATATCTAAGGCATCGCCTTCCAAGTGCCCCATTATCAGACTACATTGTTATCTCCATCCACTGCCACCGTCCCATTTCTGTTGTTACAGATTCACCTTATTTCTGCTCATCCTCCACTGACACCTAGATTTATCTTCCAGAACATTCAGGTGCAAGAAGGACAAAGACATTTAAAAAAAAAACTTTGGAGACCTAGTGTGTGTCACACTTTTATTCATGTGGGCCTTAATAGGGAGGCTGCTTAAGCAATATACTCTATAATTTGTCATTATCTTTTTGATCTAGAATCATAAAAATTCAACAAGACAAAATATAAGTGGTGGTTAATTATAATTCTATTCAAACCTTCTAGGCTCCCTTCGGACTGGGGCTACCTCTAGAGGTTGTACCCTAGAGGTAGCCCTAGTCAGGCAGTATAGGGATTTCTATTGAAATAAACTTTATACAGTTTTGTTTCAAGGGCAAAAATAATAAGGTTAGAGTTAACTGATTAGTGGTGAAGCACAACCAGTAGTCCAAAAAGTAGTCAAAGGTATGATATAATCAATTACCCAAGAAAAAACTGATCAAATTTTGGATTCTTAAGTCTGGTAAGCTGTGGTGCCCTCTATCAAAAAAAAAAAAAAATAGAGTCCTTTCGCTTTTTTGCCCAATATATGATGACAAATGCATTAGACCCATAAAAGAGTGAGATGACGACCTATACAGCATTTGTGGCAGTCTGTCTTGTGCAGACTTTCTCAGCAAATTGATTTTATTTGATCTTTTTGTAAGATAGATCCTTACTGTGATTAGCTCCGAGTAACATATATGATGTGATCAGAAGCAAAGATTTATTTCTGGTGTCCATGTCCGCAAAAAAGGTTGACTTGAATATGCCAGTCTGAAGTTTTCCAAGTGGCAGACAAAACAGGTCATTTTTAATAGCTCAAGAAATGGTAAATATATGAAGTTTATTAAGAGAAGTATTATCCAAATCTAAGAAAATGCCTTGGAGGTCTACCCCCCGAACAGAACAATCTTGTCAGTTTTTAGTTATGTATATACAAGGCTGAGATTAAACATCTGAAGCAGCTAGTGGACACCATTGGGTTTCAGCTCAACCACCTCTACAGTGAACAGGCCCAGACAGGTAGTAGCACTTTGATGAATCAAGTGTTCCACTGAGCCAGTGGATTTGTTTGGAGCACTAGAATAGGTGATAAAATTGCCACCAAAGGGTTTGCTGCCATATTTTCTTTTGAGGTGGATGTCACTGAGAACAGACCAGCTACACTTGAATATTTGTCATTTATCTTTGAAAAAATCTAAGCTTATTGGGCCCTTCCCATGTTGTTGTCCCACTGTAAATGGAACTTATTCCAAAATATAGTTATAAGGTTTGCATGGGAATAATATTCAGTTTTAAATAAAGTTCAGTAACAAACTAATAGTTGATCTTCAAAAGGACTGTATTTGTCATCTATGTCAAGGAGTGATGAGTTTAAAACCCCACAGGGGGATTCTGGGTTGAGATTGCCTCCCACTGTCAGAGTCTACAAATGGCAAAATCATTAATCACAGAGAATCGTATCACAAAGTTGTTAAAGTTGTAAGGTCACAAAGGTAAAGTGTGGCCCAGCTTTTAGGACAATTTATAACATATCCTGTTTGGGCCCAACTCAAAGGATGCTACTTTTTGGGTTAAATGATATAAAAGATCAAATAGGATATTCAAGAAAGGCCCATGTTCTCTCTAGAATCAAAGAATCAAGTCAGGAGTTAGACTATTTTTCCTTGACTCCTGAATAGATTCAGCATTACAAATACACCTA